ATGTAGACATTTATCAAATGAGTCTCTATGGACCGCAAAGTCATCCATAAAGACCTCTATGATATGCTCTACATAATTTGAAAATATGCTTACCATGCATCTTTGGAAGGTGGTGGTGCATTGCATGCTCCAAATGGCATCCGTCTATAGGCGAAGGTTCCGAAAGGACATGTGAATGTGGTTTTCTCTTGATCTTTCGGAGCTATAGCAATCTGAAAATACCTAGAATAACCATCTAGGAAGCGAGTAGTAGGCACGACCAGCGAAGCCTTTCAAGCATTTGATCAATGAAGGGCAAGGGAAAATGATCCTTGCGGGTTACCGCATTCAATTTTCTATAATCTATGCACACTCGCCACCTGTTCGAATTCCGATAGGGACCAAGTCTCCATTCCGATTCTTTACCACTCGTGATACTAGTCTTTTTGGGGATAACTTGCACCTGGACTCACCTATGCACTATCCGAAATTGGGTAAATTACCCCTGTTTGGAGTAGTTTCAGAATTTCTTTCTTCACCACTTCCATCATGGGTGGGTTCAATCTCCATTGTGGTTGATGAATTGGCTTGACTCCCTCTTCTAACAAAATTTGATGCATACATGTAGAGGGATCGATTCCTTTCATATCGGTAATGGTCTAACCTATTGTTGTTTTATGTTATTTCAGCACTTGTACAAGTTTGTCCTCTTGCTCCTTTTGAAGCTTGCTTGAGATAATGGCGAGTAGTGTCTCTCTCTCTCCGAGATACACATACTTGAGATTGTCGAGAAGAGGTTTTAGCTCCAGAATTAGGGCTTTCAACATAGATGGACGAAGTTGCTCGGTAGGTACCGAAAGCTCAATATAAGACACGTTGTTGGAGCCTTTCAGCTCTTCAAATTTGTTCATCTCGATCATGGCCTCTTGTGTTTTAGACTTGAGCCGCAACTCACTACTTGCTTTGAAAAGGTGCTCATGATTGACTATCTCCAACTTATCTTTGCCATCAATTTTGAACATATCCTGTGCTAGAGAATCAATTACATCAACTAAATACAAAGGATAATCAACATCAAGATATTTCATGACATCATAGATATTAAATCTTATGATTTCACCATTAAACTCCATGGTCAAGGTACCATTATAGACATCAATTTTTGTTCAAGCAGTTTTCAAGAAAGGCCTACCATTGGTGCTTGCATTATCATCATTTTCCATATCAAGGATATAAAAATCAGCAGGAAAAGTCATTTTTTCATTAACTTGCACAAGTACATCCTCAACTATTCCCTTAGGATGAACAGTGGATCTATCGGTTGAATGACAATATTTGTTTTCTCCAAAGGTCCAAGGTTAAGAGTGATGTATATGGAGTATGGCATAACATTGATGGAAGCTCCTAAGTCCGGCATGGCTTTTTAAATGTCGACATCACCTATTGTGCATGGAATGCAAAACATACCCGGATCCTTGCACTTCTCGGGAAGGTTTCTTTGTATGATTACCGAAACATTTTCACCTACCTTAATTTTCTCCCCTCCGGTAAGCCTTTGCTTCCTTTTCACTATGCATAATTCTTTCAAGAATTTAGCATAACGAGGGACTTACTTGATTGGATCCAACAATGGAATGTTCACCACGTAATTTTGAAAGGTTTTATACAAATCGGTATTGCTTTTAAAATTATGAATGTAAACTAAAGCATCGGGGAAAGGAGGGGGACTCTACCTTTTGGTGATGGTGAAGACTTACCTATCGTCTCTTCTTTTTTTGGAGAGGTTTATTCTATCACCTCTTCTTCGTCTTCAATGTGTTGCTCGTATTGGTTCAATTGGTGCCTTTTTTAGTGGTTCCAACTCTTTTCCACTTCGCAAGACTATCGCACTCATGTTTTCTTTCGGATTTACCACTTGTTTGTGAGGGTAGCTTGCTTGAATTTTGAGCTTTAATTCGCTCGACGACATTGGCCAATTGGCCCACTTGATGCTCCAAGTTTTGAATCCTAGTCTTTGTCTCTTGCTGAAATTTCACGAGTATTAGTAGCTAAGGTTTTGACAATATCTTCAAGAGACATACCCGAATCGGATGTTTGAGCATGTGGCTACTCGTTTAGCGAGGTACTCGCTACTTGAATGACTAAAAATTATTGGTGGGCTGATTCATTAGGGCATTGCCATAGCGAAAGTTGGGGTGATCCCTCCAACTCGAGTTGTATGTGTTGGAAAAAGGGTTATAATTTCGCTGTGGCGGTCCCGGGAACCATCCAACGACATTTGCTTGTTCAAGGTTATCATCTTGGAGAGTTGGACACATGCCCGTTGCATGTCCCACCGCCGAACAAATTCCACAAGCCTTTTTCGTTTCTATTTTTCCTGCTCGCTAATTGACGCATAAGAGCGAGTAAGGTCATCAAAACGTTTTTCAAGGTACTTACCTCATTTACTCGTCGAGTGGTATAGTTAGATCCGGTTCTAAATTCGTCGTGTGTTTGATGCCATGTTTGCTATCAAAGTTCTAGCTTTTTCGGGTGTTTTGTCGGCTAAAGCACCACCACTTGCTCGCATCAATCATGTTTCGATCGGATGGCAAAAGTCCTTCATAAAAGTATTAGATGAGCAGACTGATTTGTGATTTGGTGGTGTGGGCGGCTTGCACAAAGCTTTTTAAAGCGCTCCCAATATTCATATAATAACTCTCTATTGTGTTGTCTAATGCCACAAATCTCTTTTCTTATGCTTGGTCGCTCTTGAGGTCTGGAAAGAATTTTTCAAGAACAACCTCTTCATCTCATGCCAAGTAGTTATGCTTCCAGCGAGTAAGTAATAGAGCCAATCTTGGGCATCATCCTTCAAAGAGAAAGGAAATGCCCTCGGTTTGATTTGGTCTTCGGTTACTCCATTCGGTTTCATACCCGAGCATACCACATGGAACTCTTTCAAATGTTTGTGAGGATCTTCACCCGCCGACCCTCGAAAGCTAAGCAAAAGATGTATAAGCCCGCATTTTAATTCAAAAGTAGTGTTGGCGAGCAAAGTTGAGAAAGTTAATGCAATGAGGTTGTTGATCCGAGTCGAGCGGCGCAAGTCTGTTTGAGTGTTCCGTTTGCAAGTGCATTCTCCATGATTGCGGCGAGTGCTGGTCGCTCTGTTTGTTGCTCCGTTTGCTCGTTCGTCTGCCGAGTGATGGCGTGGGCACGCCGCTACTACGTGGCCTTCCTAAGACTTCTTGCTTGTGTGTTCTATTTACGGGTCAAATAGCGGGTTTTCGATCGTTATTAGACCTTGTAACGTACATAAACAATTGTGAATTCCCCGACAACGGTGCCAAAATTTAGTGTTTTATCGTTGTCGTGTGCACCCAAATTAAACTCTTAAACTTCTATAACACAAATATAGTAAGGGAGAGTAGGGATCGATCTCACGAGGAATTCAATCGCGTTAGTCGTCACAAGTCTTGAAGAAACATAAAATAAATAAAAAGGTGGGTTCCGATTTGATTGAGGTATAACCGAAACTAAACAAATTAAATTCGGAAAATGAGTTTAGAACAAATATTCAAGTAAAAAAATCTTGGTTCGGGTAACATCCACTTTTGGAACTTGAGATTTATCCTTGGTGCACGAAATATCGGATCTCCATTCAAATATTTGTTGTGATATTGATATCAATCTTTCCTTATAATTAGCTAACTAGAAACATGTATTCTAATCAACCCTTATTATTTAACAACCCTAGATATGATCTAAGATTTAATCAAACAATGGCTTTATATATTCGAAAGATCAACAAAGCAAGATAACACAACACATGTAGTTGCATTTAATCTAGTTGAACAATCCTCCTAAGAGTCATTAGTTTCGACGCAACAAACCATACACTCCTAGTTGCTACACAAATCAAAGGGATTGAACAATTACGGATTCAATATTCGATCTAGCTATAGATTATCTAAGCTAATAAACTAACTATACACATTAGAAATTAACCCAAATAATCATGAAAATAAGCATAGAAGAAAGTTCAATAGTTGAAATAAATAAACCGATTTACATTAATGTTTAAGCACCTCAAAATCTTTGATTTCCAAAAGCTTCAATTACCTTCACCAAGGAGAAGAGTCTAGCTGCTCATGGCGACCACCATAGCTAGAGAGAGAGAGAAAATAAGGCTGCCTTCTATGAGAATAATATCTAAAAGTTGTCTCGCTCTAGTCCGTTAGGTTTCTATTTATACAAGGTGTCTATTTCCCAAAAAGGATACATAATATTCTCTCCTCTTTTGGTAGGTCGATGTCTTTTTCTAGCAAATCACGCAAGTTTTGTTTCTTTCGCGATCTGTTGTGTGTTTCGCAGATTTCAGCGTGCCCGCATCAAGTTGCAACGTGCCTACGCCTTCGAGTCCTTGTGCTTCTATGTCCGTTGTATTTGCGTGCCCATGCTTCTATTCTTAACGTGCCCACGTTTCTTGTGTTTTCCGATGAGTCGAACCGGCTCTAATCGCAAGTTCTCTTTATATAACTCTTTTAACATCATTTTTCAATCGGTTCAACACCTAGCACATAGAATACAAAAGGCACTTAAGTTTTATCATTTAGACATCTCAAAATAGTAAAATGTAGAGGAATTTCACAATTCAAACACATGTTTTAAGCATTATCGGAAGACGTACATCTTTATATAGCTCTCTAAGAGCCCTCTCGATCTCATATTGACTTAAACATTGAAGATCCCCAAATGAGAGAACCTCTTTGTTTTGCAGGAATACAATTATCATTCACAGCCACTTTCATTCGAATAGTTGTGATATTAAAGAACAATAAATGTCAACATGAACTACAAATGATCTTATTCTAGTTGTAGAATGAACTACAAATGCCTTTATCTGTTAAAGGGGTGAACATTCAGAATTTTCGGAGGAAACAAAAAATGAAACAGAACCACAGCTTGAGATCTGGAAATAAGCGGAAACGTACAATGCAATTTTCTGAGCTTGCTAATTGAGACCACAAATGCTCATGCTAGTTACTTTTCTTTGAAGTCTTAGCAACAAATGCCCAGTGGCTGTGCCACTCCAGCAGTTCAGGACAAAGGACTTTCAGCAGAAACGTAATCCTTGTCCAGGAAGGCTCTACCAAGAATCTGTCTCCCCGGCAAGCGCTGTCCACGATTGCTTTAGCACACATTTCGGTCGACTCAGCCGGAACAAAGTCCATTTTTGCCTGCAGAAAATTACATTCAAAGCAATTGTTAGAAAATCAAGTTGTGCAGTTTAGTGTGAGTAAAACTTGCATCGAAAAGTAATGTCCGACTAAAATTGATGAGATGAGACATGATTTATATACATATATCTCAGCTTTTTTGCCATGGAGGTGTGAAAGTGAACATGTAACAAGTTACTAATTAATAATGAACATGGGATTGCTAATTAATTTAATTAGGGTGAAAAAAAAAATCATGCAGGAATTGAGAAGTAAATAGAGCAACATTCACTTGTTATTTCTCCATTTAGTTCCTTCAGAAATACCTTCGTTATAAAATCGCCTTGACTCATTTCTGACTCAACTGCACCAGGAGTGACTATTGTTATTCCAATATCTGAACCAAATTCAGCTCTCAGTGTCTCATAAAAACTTGTTAGGGCTGCCTTGCTTGCCTGAAGCCATTATAATATTGATCAGTTACTCTAAAGATGACTGACTGACTGAGAGTAGTACATATTAAGAACATTCTTACGCAGTAGAAGCTCATCCTAGGCAATGAGCACCATCCAGCAATTGAAGAAATCCCTACAATCCTCCCTTTACTTTTTCTTAGGTGTGGAATAGCAAAACGAGTGGCATGTACAGAACCCCAAAAATTTGTGTTCTGCAAAAGGCACCAAAATGGATCCTTAGCAATTTCTGGCAACCGTAATTTTTTAGTAGGTAAGTAATACAGAGAACATACCTTTAGTAGGTAAGTAATACAGAGAACATACCATAAGCGTCACAAGATCTGAGATTTGCTTGCAATCCTCAAACATGTCGATTCGAATAATACCGGCATTGTTCACAAGATGATCCACTATGGCATAAACCCCGTGAGTCATAGTAAAACAAGTTTTTTATTTTTTATTTTTATTTTTCAAAAAAAACCTAGTGCAGAAATTGAAATAATCCTTACATTGGCCAAAATGATTCACTGCCTTATTAATAAACCGCTCACAGTCTTCAACCTTTGAAACGTCAGTAGGGATGAATATTACATCCGGTGACCCCAGCAGCTGAGCCTTATCAGCAACTGCTTGAAGACGCTCCTCTCTTCTAGCAGCAAGGGCTAAACATGCTCCTCTCCTGGCATACTCATATGCAAGATACTTCGAAAATCACAAAACAAAGTTAGAGCACTAGCAAATAGTATGCTTGTTATAATGGTAACAAGATTCCAAATCTTTAGTCTGCATAATATGATAAACATTTACATCTGTGCAGAGAATGTATACCAACCTCACCAATACCTGAAGATGCCCCGGTGATTGCAACTACTTTTCCTGCCACCCTTTCGCTATTTATATATCTTTTTATGCAACTGATAAACTTGAAAAGAAGAAAAGGCGGCAAGAAGAGAAGTAGCAGAGACAATGTTATAGGAGGAAGCACAATGTTTAGGACCTTGTGAATCAAATCCATGCTATGCTTTACTAAATTCGGAGAGGAAAGACCAAAATAAAGCAAGTTCTGTTTCTAGTATAGCTGTGAGCCTAGCTGTGCCAGTATCAGAATTTTGGTTCGAAAGATTTTGCTGCAGTAGTCGAAATGAAATAAGCATTGGGTAAGAACTGGTAATTAAAAAAAAAAAAAAAAAAAAACAGAGATGGAGTGAGAGAAAATATACCATCAAGCAGAGAAAACTGCATTTCTAGTAGTTCCTCAATATTAGAAAAGCAGGATTTTTTTTCTCGTCCTGTTTTTGGTTGCCCTTAGTAGTTAGTATCTTCTTAAAAAATGACAATATTTCCCCGGAAAATGGAATCTCAATAAATTGCAATCTCCTCAATAATATTTCCTTTTTTTCCCTTTTCCCTTAAAAAGCAATTTCTAGAGCGTAATCACCCGTAGTACATATCTCTCTATCTAATCTACCTATCTGTCCATATATATATATATATATATATATATATATATATATATATATATAATTGTTTTGATTTTATGTGATAGTAAAATTATTTTTCAGATCAATTTATATATCAATTGAGATTAAGTTTTTTCTTAAACCATCTTAAAGATGTACCCTCTAACATTGGCCTATTACATTAAAACAAATTTAATAAATTATTCTCGATTCGAGTGTACCAAGATTTAAACCTAATAATTCAAAAAAAGAAAATAAGCAAATTTCCTTAACCAAAATTTTTTCCTTAAAAAGCAATTTCTAGATATCTTTTTCCTTAAAAAGCAATTTCTAGATATCTATCTAATCTACATATCCGTCTATAAGATATTTTTTTTTATTATTATCTATATAAGTTTTTTAATTTTATTCAATAACAAAGTTATTTTTTCTATCAATTTCTATATCAATTGAGATTTTTTTTTCTTAAACTATCTTAAAAATGTATCCTCTCACATCGGCCTATTACATTAAAACAAATTTAATAAATTATTCTCGATTCAATAGACCAAGATTTGAACCTAAGAACTCAAAAAAAGAAAATTAGCAAACTTCCTTAACCCAATTTTTTGAAATTTGTGCGGATATGTGCTAGGTAACTTATGTGTAGGATTGGAATGGATAACTTGTTCGAATGTGTCATCTTTTTGCGGTGGCATTACCACTTGATGTTGTATATTCATTAATACCCTCATTTGTTCATCTTGCTTTTGTTGTTGTTGTTGCATCAACGTTTGTGTTCTTGTAACGGATTAATCGGTTGCTCGGTTATGATATCGTTGTCTCGTGGACATTCCTTCCACTTGACTCCATATCACTATGATTATTCTTTGACATGTTATACCTATGTAACCACATTCATGCAAATGACATGATGCATTGATCAACACTCAAGCATATGCACATCATTCGGCCCACACCAAACATAAACATATAATGTAATCACAAGACATAATAAGCAATCATCGAACACACGTTCAACCAATAAACAAGCATGCATATAATTCATTCAAGTAGGCATATTAAGCCATCAAGAAACACATGTGCACATTCAATCACTTAAGCACTTATATGTCGATGATGTTGTCGTGTACTAATTTGGTCTTCTAAGTCAAGTGGCTAGGTCAAACTATGCTTTGATACCACCTTTGTAACACCTTTGGCCCAAAATCTAAAGTAGGTCGAGAATGCTAACAACAATGCCTCACATTTAAAGTGCAATGAATTTGAGACACTAAGTCTCGTGTCCTTTACTATCTAAATCAATCTAAGTTATTCTCTAGATTATTCTAAATGTATTAAGGTTAAAATGTTAATTAAATTAGCTTGAATATTCTTCCCATTTCTTTAATTCACTGAATTAATAAACCGAGGTGTTAGAATTTTTGCAACTTAGATGGTCACTTGTATGGCTATCTTTGTTTACTTAATCTAATTACATTTTCTAGACGTCTATGTAATTTCCATGTAGGTTCCAAGGTCCATATTTGTAACTTCTATGTAATTTTCTAAGCAATTTTCTTGTAACTTATTAGGTCAACCTTTATTTACTTACCATGCAATTTCCATAAAATTTCCTATGTCCACTTTCCATGTAATTTTGATGAAGTTTCTTAAGATCTTTTTTTTTACAACATTATCCATGCTTTATTTTGATGTTAATTCATATCTAATTTGTACATGACTCATTCAACCTAGCCAAATTAGTCAAGTCTTTAAGTTCACTTTACAATTTAATCACTTAACTTTACCTTTTGATTTAATTAAGTACCTAGATTTTTAATTATTTTAATTTAGTCTCTAGGTTATTGCAATTAAGTCCCTAGGATACTCATACATTTACTATGTTTAAAAATTAAATATGCAAAACTAAACACTTACGAATACAACACAAAACACATAATCAATGCACATATAGAACATGATTTTCATCAAATACAAACATAATCTTTCACATGTATTAACCAACAACATAACATACTAAAAAAGTGAACTCACATAAGTGAACACACATACATACAAATCCCCAAGTTAGTATGGTGATAGATTTGGTGGCTAATCTAGTTGAGGGTTTGGTGGTAGAGCACGATAAGGTCGAGGTCATGGAAGCTCATGTGGTCAAGGTCGGACAAGTTTGGTGGTGGCTAAGCTTGGATTTTTGCCATCACCTAACAGGATGCTCAATCATCCAATGCCATTATGTTAGGTATCCTTCAAGTTTTTTCATTTGATAAAGGGTATTGTTTGACTCGGTGGCATGCCATTCATTTGTGTCTTTGTATTTTGCTAAGAGGTTTGATATAAGATAATGTACATTAGAGTAGTCTTTGATGGTATTAGCACCAATAGGGGAAAGGAAGATAGCTGATTTGGTGTTTAGGAACCGTGATGTATGGGTAATGGATAGAAATTTGATCGTAGATTTGATTTTATTAGAGATGAATGACTTTGATGTGATCTTAAGAACGGATTGGTTAGCTAATCATCATGTCTTATTAGAGTACTATAATAAGATAATATATTTTAGAGATTTAGGAGAAGATGGATTTTCTTTTCAAGGAGAGTGGAGTATGGCTTGTTCTAACCTAGTGTTTGCCATTAAGGTGAATAAGATGATGAGAAAGGTGTGTATGGCTAATTTGGCTTATGTGAAGGAGATCGATGATAATGCAATTAGTTTAGACCAAGTTCTAATTGCTAGGGAGTTTCTAGATGTATTTCTAAAAAATTACCCGGTTTACCTCCGTAAAGATAAATAGAGTTCGATATTGAATTACTTTTACGTATCAAACTTATCTCTATACCTCTCTATTAGATGGCACCAATTGAATTGAAGGAGTTAAAGGTTCAGCTCTAGGACTTAATGGATAAAGGATTTATTCGATCGATCATTTCTCCATGGGGTGCTTTGGTTTTATTTGTTAAAAAGAAAGATAGGAGTTTGAGGTTATGCATTAACTATCATCGGTGGAATAAAATGACAATGAAGAATAGGTATTCATTGCTAAGAATATATGATTTGTTTGATCGGTTACAAGGTGTAAGGTACTTCTCAAAGATTGATTTGAGGTTCGGATACCATTAGTTGAGAGTTAGGAGGGAGGATAGCTTAAAACTACCTTCAAGATGCGATATGACCACTATGAATTTTTGGTGATGTCGTTTGGCCTTACCAATGCTCCGATAGCTTTCATAGATTTAATGAATAAGGTGTTTTGACACTTCCTCGATAAGTTTATAATTTTTTTTATTAATGGCATACTAGTGTATTCTAAGAATGAGAGAGAGCATAAGAATCATCCGAGGCGTGTATTGCGGACATTAAGAGATTGAAGGTTGTATGCCAAATTTTTAAAATGTGAATTTTAGCTAAAAAATATGGCATTCTTAGGACACATTGTGTTTCGAAAAAGAATTATGGTTGATCCAAAGAAAGTAGAAGCAGTAAGCCATTGGTCGAGACCTACTTTAGTGACGGAGATTCAAAGCTTTTTGGGTTTGGTCGGGTATTATTAAGGGTTTGTGCAAGACCTTTCAAGGATTACAACGCTTTTGACTAAGTTAACTCGGAAGAATGTTAAGTTCTAATGGTTAGATAACTCGTTAAAAGAGTTTTCAAAAGCTAAAGACGTGTTTTACCATAGCACCGATCCTTACCTTACCTTCGGATAGTGGTGGATTTTTGGTATTTGGTGATGCCTCAAGAGTGGGGTTATGATGTGCATTAATGTAACATGGTAAGGTGGTAGCTTATGCTTCAAGACGAGTTGAAAAAAAATGAATAGATCTACCTTACACATAACTTGGATTTGGCGAGTAGTGGTTCTCGCCATGAAAATTTAGAGACATTATCTATATAGAGAAACTTATAAAATCTATATAGATCATAAGAGTTTGAAGTATATATTATATCGAAGGATTTGAATTTGAGGTAAAGGAGATGGATAGAATTCGTCGAAGGACTATGATTGTTCTATTTTGTACCATCCGAGTAAGACTAATGTGGTAGTCGATGCCTTGAGTAGGAAGTTAGTCGGGAGTTTAGCTCATATATCGAAAAGGAAAAAGTCATTAGCATCGAAGTGGATAATTTATGAGATTCCGGATTGGTGTTTGGAGTTAATGAGTTAGGTAATCTTTTGGCCCATATGGAGATTAGGCTAATTTTAATGGATCGGATCCAAAAGGCTCAACTTGATGATGAAGAGATTTAAGAGATATTCACTAAGATGCAAGAAGGAAAAATCCGGGTTTTAGAGTGGATAATAGAGGCACTCTATGGTTTCATTGAAAGTTATGTATACCGAAGAATCCAAAGCTAAGAAAATAGATCTTGATAGAGGTTCACAAGACAACCTATTTTGTGCATCCTAGATGTCGACGTCGATCACCACGAGGGGAGGGGTCGAAATAAAGGAGTCGCCACTTAGTTAATCGAGAAAAACCATGAAACCCTAAACATACCGGTCTATATGGATATGTGGATAAGGAGTCGGTTACGTATGGGGAAGACATGTTGTCACCACCATCCCGTCCTACCTAAGGTAGGTTGCATTGTTTGTCTATGAATATAAAAATCTAATCTTTTATCATGTTATGCTACCTATTTAAATGAGTTTATTTTGTAAAATATGAGATATGATGGTTTGGGTATAAAACATGGTAGTTTGGACGTTCGAGCCGATCCAAGGCCAATACGTCTTACCCAAATGGAAAAAAGGTGAAAAGTTAGAATTTTAGCTAGTTATTGGCAAACATGACCTATTATTGACAATAGATAAGTTTCTAAAGATAAATAGCCTTTTATTAGCATGAGTTGCCGATCATTGACGACTTCGCTCACACAAGTGAGAAGCCACCGATGACTTCGAATCATGAGTTTGAAGAGAACGATAACCTCATCACATAAGTTGAAAGTTACCGATCACTTTATTTAGCTCGTGCAAGGAGCAAATAACTATTTAGAAGCCACCGACGACTTTATCACATAAGTGGAAAGCCATAGACGATTTCGTTTCAAATGAATAGACCTTAAATGAAAAATTATTTTCGAAGCCACCGATGGCTTCGTCATATAAATGGGAAGCCACCGACAACTTCATTTTAATGAAATAGGCAATAAGACATAGAAAACAAAAGTCGAGAAACAATAAACAAAAAACGAAAAAACGAGGATTAGACACCAAACAAAATGGTTTTGTAACCACCGATGGCTTTATTACGGTATTGCAAACAATCATGGAAAGTCAATTGAAGCACAAAATTGAGACAAATTTTATTTTGGGACGGATAAGCATAATAACAAAAAAACGAGGTATATTGTTCCTTGATGATCTTTGTAGTAATGTTTCATTTTAACCATATTTATTTCATGAATTTTATGCTAACTATCACAGTTTTGACCACATTCCAAAGCATACAGTCATTTTTAAACGTTTATCACGCATTCGTAAATGTCATGTTTTAAGATTTTTACCCAAAAAGATCTAAAGGATCGACGTTAGATTCGGAGTTGATCCTACCCTTTTCGTTCCCGATGATAATCGAATATTTGATTAGTCAAAAAAGGAGGATAATTGCTGGTCGAGAATATGGGGTGTGGTGCCGTTAAAGTGACCAAAAACCCTCTCGCTACTCGAGTAAACACTCCAAAGTTACTCGCAAAATTTGCAAAGCTCCCGAAAGCCCAAGGTAACTTTTATTGCTTATTTTCCCGCCAAAAAAGAATCAACCAAATACAATCTACAACATCATGTTATGGTCGCCAACAATCCTACACAAGAAAATCTTTTAGCCTTTCTTTTTTATAATTTTTTTTCTTTCCTCTTTTTTAGTAACTCCAAAAGAAATGTCCAAATGGTCGTTCTAAGGAAGGTTTTGTCTCTATTTTTTGAGGACGTTTTGAGGGGTTTATAGGTGGTTTGGAGGCTGATTTGAGGGAGTTTTTGGGGCTGATTTGGTGGTTCAAATGGGTTACTCGAAGGGGTTGCTTTGTAAGGGTTTTTAGAGAGGTCATCGATAGCAATTGTAAGGCTGTAAAAGCTACTCGTTGGTGGTTGTTTTGGGTCTAGGTTTTGGGCGGCTTTGGGACTTTTTTGGAGGTGTTTTGGGGCTATCTTAAAGATGGATTAGGGATGTTTTAGTGGCTATTTTTATGGTTTAAATGGGCAGCTCGTAGTGGTTTCTCTGTAAGGGTTTTTGGAGTCACTTGGTAACAATTGCGGGGATGACTTTTGGAGGGTTTTTGATGGGTTTTAGGTTTGTTTAAGGCTCTTTTTTCTAGGATACTTTGGGGCTTTACCGTAGGCTGGAATGGGGTATTTTGAGGAATATTTAAAGTTAAGTTTAAAGGGTTTTAGATCGAGTTTTGTGGGTGTTGGGTATGTTTATGGAGGAGGGTCGGATGTTGGGGTTTGAGGCAAAAGAGAGTATTTGGGCAAGGTTAGTGCGAGCGGACTTAGAGGGGTTGTAGGCATGCTTATGAGGCTTGGACGAGGGGTGAGAGGCCGGTGCAATCTAGCATGAAATGTGTGTAGGGTGAGAGGCGACTCGTTGGATAGCTTGGCGTGGAGAAGGCCGAGGTTATGGCATGACCGACGAAGGCTTGCGTGGGAGAAGGCCGAGGTCGTGGTGTCCGTGTGAAGTTATTCAAGTGAGAAGGGTGCTTGGTGTAGTGATGGCTGCAAGTGAGGGGCGAGAGGGCTTTGGTGGAGCCGTGGGCAAGGGGAGTGAGCTTCGATATGAGGGAGAGAACTCGAGTTTTGGTGTCTATGGCGAGCTGGTAGTGTTTTTATGGGTGATGATGAATAGTTCCTGGTATAAAGAAATGCATAGGGTGGTTTTATATGTAGGTTTTCCGGGCTAAATATCACTTTAGTCCTTGGTTTCTTCCCTCCACTAATTCAAATTCAAATTCAATCTTCATTTTCCTCTTCAATGAGCCCTATCGAATCTCAATTAATTGGGACTTTTTCTTTAATTTTTCTTCAATTATGCCCCCTTGTTATTTTAATTAAAGGACAAGAGTTTTATTTTTTTATTGAACCTTAATTGCATTTTTTATCACCTCTAGACTTTTTATTTCTTCAATTAACCCCTCCCACTTTCTTTTTCTCTTTTCTTTTTTTTTAATTAACTTAAACTAATTATCCCAACTGATTTTTTTTCTTTTCCACTTTTCTTTTCATTTTTTGTTGGTTTTTTGTCGTTTTGTTTTTTTTTTTTGTATTTTTGTAACAATAAAAATAAATAAATAAATAAAGCGGAGCAAAAATTAGGTGCTAACACTAGATATGTTATGATGTATAAGGATCTCCGTGAGAATTATTGGTAGACTAGAGTGAAGAAGGATATCATAAAGTTTGTTTCACGAGTGCTTAACATGTCGGCAAGTAAAATATAAGCATTGAAAATCGATAGAAATGTGGCAAAAGTTGACACTACCGAAGTGGAAGTAGGAGAGAGTAACTATAGACTTTGTGAAAGATTTTCCTTGAACCCGGAGAGGTTATGACCCGATTTAGGTGATTATGGATAGGCTACCTAAGTCTACCCACTTCTGCTTGTAAAGACTACCTATAGGTGTCCCCAATACGCCCTATCGTACATCAATCGGATAGTATCCTTACATGGTATTTCGGTCTCTATCATCTTAGATCGAGGTACTTAGTTTATATCTTGATTCTAAAGAAAATTACAAGAGGCACTTGGTACGAGATTGGACTTTAAGTACGACATTTCATCCTCAAACGGATGGTCAATCGGAAAAAACAATTCGGATCTTAGAGGATATATGCTTAAGGTATGTGTGATAGATCTATGAGATAGTTGAGATCATCAATTGCCATTGATCGATTTCTCATACAATAACGCTTACCATTCCAACATTGGTATGGTACCGTATAAGGCCTTGTATGGTAAAAAATATAGATTGCCAATATGTTGGTCGAAGCTAGAGAAAATGAATCCTTATGACCTAAATTGATTTAGCTCACAACCAAGAAGATGAAGTTGATTCAAGAACATCTTAGGATTGCACATAGTAGATAGAAGAGTTATGCGGATCCTAAGAAGAGACAAGTAGAGTTTCAAATTGGTGATTTTGTATTTCTCACAATTTATCCGACGAAAGGAGTAATGTAGTATGATAAAAAAGGAAAGCTAAGCCTAAGGTACATAGGATCATTTGAGATTTTGGATCGAATTGGAGCAAGTGGCTTATGAATTGGTGTTGCGGCCATAATTCTCAAGCGTACATTCGGTATTCCATATTTCCATGCTAAAGAAATACGTACCTAACTCATCTCATATACTAGAACCGCAAACGAAGGAACAAAGTCCCGATTTGTCATATAAGGAACAACTAATGGCTATAGTGGATCGTCGAGTTAAAAAATTATGGAATAAGAAGATTGTATCCATCAAGGTCATTTGGAGGAACCATTCCACCGAAGAAGCTACTTAAGAGGCTGAAAAGGAAATGAGAAAGAAGTGACCTCAATTGTTCATCTATTAAGGTTTGGGTAAACTCAAAATTCAAGGATAAATTTTACTAAGGAGGAATAATAATCCAAATACACACACACACACACACACAAAACAAGATAACCAATTTATCCTTTTATTTTCTTTCTTTTCTTCCCTTTTCCCCATACCATTTCTCTGCCATTTTCTCCCAAATTCTCATCTTTGATTCCTATGCTAATGCTATGTTCAATTAGCTTAGAAGAACCATAAATTAGTTAAATTAGTTGGCTTAAGTGGATTTTAGTTAGCTTGGAGCTTTGAAAGCTTGGAGAAAGCTAAGAAGAAATTGGATTTGAAGAGTTTAGTGTAAGGTAAGGATTTTGATCCATTGAACTTTGAATTGTGATGTTTGCAAGTAGTTAATGATGATATTGAATTGAGATTGATTTGAGTTAAGAAATTACTTGAGGAATTGCTTAGATTGAGGTTAAGGGTTCTTGAGACCCATTTGGGGGAAATTTTAATTAAGTGATCCTAAGTGTTTAATTGATATTTAATTATCTTGAAAAAGTGAATTAAGGAGTTAATTTGAAGTAAAACTAAATAAATTTGAGAAATTGAGAGGTTGAAGAAGATGAATAGTGATAAATTCGAATTTATGTTTTAAATGAAAAGAAAATTGGGGAAAGTGAGAAATTAAACTATATACATGCAATTCAAGGTTAATGGAATGAGTAATTAATGAATCGAATGTAATGGATCATTTGAATTGAAAATTCATGATTAAATTAAGAATTGGTGATGATGAGATTTAGTGACCTATGGATTAGAATGAATTGAAGAATTATAGTATTTAGTTACATTATCGGATCGAGTTTTTCAATCAATTCTATTTTTATTTGATAATCTTGTACTTCTAATTCTAGAATAATTCGGTGTTTGGATTATTCCTTGTTATGTGATATTGATGGATGATCCATTATTTTGTGACGCTAGATTCTTTGAAGCGGACGATTCCATCCCAACCATCTTGACTTCTTTTTGGTTCGCCATTTGTACTCGTGAATGGATATCATGTAGTATACCATGTGTTACATTTCTTGATTATGATCATTCATGCATCATTATTTAACAATGATTTAGAAGCAATTCTATTAGAACTTGGATAGGAACGGTACCATAAAATTTGAAATGCTTTCGTATCAAAATGATTTGGTATGGGCTGAAATGAAATTGAATGTGTAAATGGATTTTATATGTGTTTTTGAAATTGAATGACTACGTTGTGTTCGATATTTTGAGTATATGTGTATTTTATGAAAATACATGGCAAGTCGTTTACATACCGATTTGAAAATGTATAAATATATTTAGTTTTAAAAAATATTTACGAGACCCTAGTGGAACTTAGCTATCGGGGTTAGCCTTTCGAGCTTAATGATACGACGCTTCATCTAGCGGGAGAGGTGTAGTGTTAGACCGTATGTCGACTAACATGCAAAAACCTAGTCACGAGAGGTGTGACCTTTATGATAGGTTATTATCTCATCGATGTATAAAACCTATGTGTGTATGTGTGTGTTGATTCGAAATGGTTTGAAACTATTTGACTTGTGATACAAATTGTGTTTTCAATATGCATATGTATTTGAGAAATGAGCATTGCATTTTGATATGGATTTAAGAACATCATTCGTAGTTTGTTTTCTTTCTTTAGTATATTATATAATGTCTACTCATTGAGCTATGGTTTGCTTACCCCTCATTATTTCAGTTTTGTAAGATATTAAGGGAGTAGCTATTGCTTCCTTTTGGCTACTTTTCATGAAGTCGACACCTTGACCATGTGGCTTATTTCCTTGTAATTTCCTTAGAACCTATGTGTATCCTCAATTGTAATTTTAGATGCTTTGTAGTTAGCTATGAGTAATGTATTAAGATTTGATTATGAAAATGAAATTATGAATATTAATGTTGGATATTGAAATATAGATCGTATTGAGGTTGTAAAAAAATGTTATTTATGTTATGATGATCTTGATTGGAATATTGATTTTAGGACTATAGTATAAGTCCGATTATGAATTGAGGTTTTTAGATTAGCATCCGAGGCTTGCTTAGGTTGAGGTGGGCCTCATGGTCCCTTCGATCTTGTGTCACTTATGACTTACTTCTCGGGTTTATGACATTAATTTAAAAGAAATTACGTAAAAGAATTAGAATTTCTAAACTTAAATGGTTAGAGAGAAAATAATGAAATTCAATTTCTTATGTTTTTTGACATGTATGTTCAAGGTATTGAATTTAGTCGATGTATCGATTTTTAGAGAAAGATTATGATAAATAGTGGTTTTAAGCGAATCAAGTAAGTGTAACTTACTTATACCATGGACATAAATGCTATATGTTTTTATATGATTGATGTGATGGTCTTGAAGTGCATTCATATGCATGCATATGTTTTACATGTTGATTGAAAGAAAATATTGTAAGTAAACGAATGAGGTCATTTTTTAATACATATTGAGGTTTAAAGATGAAGATTGCCTATCGAGGCATAAACGTTGAGGTTTGACTATTAAATGTTGATGTTAATATTTTAATGCATGTTTTTATTAAGATTAGACTTTGCTAATCGGTTTTAGTATCTTCTAACAAGCCCCGATAAGGAAATTTTTTTTGAAGATATTCATGTATAAAAAGTTTTAATGTAAAATAATGCATATTACACTTGTTATGATATTTGTATCTTACGTCCGTTACGTAGTGTAAGTAATGATGCAAATGCTAAGGATGTTGATACTACTCCCAATGACCAATGACTCATGTCTTTACCTTCACATGTCTCTAAAAATCAAGTCATGTTTTAAATGAATATTTAATTTTAAAATAATAAATGTAATGATGTTAAATTTTTGAATTTTGAAATTTTTTCTTTAGAATTTGAGTATAAATATTGGAACAAGATTATATAGGAATGTTAATTATAATGAGATATGTTTTCATAAATGATGAAATTTTAGAATAATGTTTCGTTATGTTAATAAAAAAATCTCATGATTATATATTATTAATAATATATTTTAAATTAATATATTTAAAGATAAATTAAATTAAATTAATAATTTAATTTAAAAAAAACTAAAAAATATAAATTTTATTATCAATCTATTCAGTCATGACCTTTTAAATAAGATGTCTTGATTTATAAAAGTTACGCGTAATTTGCATATTCCTTAAACTATGTTATCATAACGGTTGCTGCCGCTCTGTGCACCAGTCAAGTCATCCCGTTGTGATACCAATTGACGTAGTGTATTGATCAATCAGGTCAGTCCCGCTTTGACACCTATTGACATCACGTGTCAAGACATATAGCCCTTCTCTAATCCCTGCCAAACTCCTAGCGGGCCACTCAAAGTGATGATCATGCCTATACGTTAGATGTATAGATGCCACCACCCGTATCCGTGTAGTTTCCTAGATGATTTGTATCCCTAAAAATGTATCGCTAGGGTGGTTGCTAACACTTTGTCCACCTGACACAATCTCGCTCTAATATCAATTGATATAAGGCACAATCCTGCTCTAATACCTGTTGAAATCTAAAATAAAGACATTTGAGATCTTCAATAATTGCAAAAGTCCTATCGAACAACTCCACGTCATAATCATGCCTCTGTAAGTACATATGAATGCTACCTCCTCAACTCGCGCAATGCCTAAGATAATCCGCAACTCTTGGTCAGTGTCACACGGTGGTTCCTACCATTTTGTGACCAATCAAGTCAATCCCATGTTGATACAAATTGACTCAATGTTTATAGCAAAAAGAATACGAGGTTTCTTATAAGCAAAAGCCTTAAACACCAATACCATCGTAATTATCGAAAAATATCCAAAATACTCAGATTTTATTAATTCGATCTATCAAAAGGCTAGTAAAACTAATTCATACCCACCGAAAATTTGTTGAAAGACAATCAGTTTCCAATTTAAAGTATATTATCCAGATAAGTCGCAAATAATGTAATCAATAAGCTAAAAGTCATTTTTCTAACATTGAAATTCTACACACTATAATATTGATTATGTCAAGCAAAGAGAGAAATTAAAGATAATACTTTTCAACATTCTAAATTTTCATTGGAAAACAGAATGAAACAAAACCACTGCATGAGATCTGGAACTAAAGCTGAATCGCTCAAGGCAAAATTCTATGCCTGTTAATTGAGAACACAGATGCTCATGCTAGTTCCTTTTCTTTGAAGTCTTAGCAACTAATACCCAGTGGAAGCACCACTCCAGCAGTTCAGGACAAAGGACTTTCAGCAGAAACGTAATCCTTGCCCAAGACGGCTCTATCAAGTACCGGTCTCCCCGGCAAGCGCTGTCCACGATTGCTTTAGCACACATTTCTGTTGATTCTGCAGGAATCAAGTCCATTTTAGCCTGCAGAAAATTATATATAAAAGAATTGTTAGAAAATCAAGTTGTACAGATTTATTTGGGTAAAACTTGTATCCAAAAGTGAGGTCCAACAAATATTGATGAGATGAGACATGATTTATAGATATCAATCAACATTGTTTTAAAGATCAGATACCGGTATCTCTCTCAGCGTGTTCACCATAGAGTTCTGAGAGTACTGAACATTTAACAAGTTACTACATAGAGACATGAGATTGCTAACTACAATGTATATCTCATAATTAATTTAATTCATGTTGAATAAAGAAAATCACGCAAGAATTGAAAAGTAAATAGAAAATTGTTCATCTGTTATTTCTTGATTTATAGCCATCAGAAATACCTTTGATACAAGATCACCTTGGCTCATTTCTGACTCGACTACACCAGGAGTGACTATTGTTATTCCAATATCCGAACCAAATTCAGCACTCAGTGTCTCATAAAAACTGATTAGGGCCGCCTTGCTTGCCTGAAGCCATTATAATATTGATCAGTTGGTCTGAAAATGACTGACTGACTGAGTTCAGCATTTATTAAAGGACAATTCTTACGCAGTAGAAGCTCATCTTAGGTACTGAGCACCATCCAGCAATTGAAGAAATCCCTACAATCCTTCCTTTACTTTTCCTTAGGTGTGGAATAGCAAAACGAATGACATATACAGAACCCCAGAAATTTGTGTTCTGCAAAAGGCACCAAATTAGATCCGTAGAAATTTATCTGGGAATGCAAAATGTTGAAAGATAATCGGTTTGAAATTTGAAGTAATGCCCAGATTACAACAAAGAGACTCCCTACATTAAAGATTAGACCTGAGAAGAAAACTCTATTTATCGAGGAATATCTTTGCTCAAGTTTGTAAACAGTATCTGATGAAAAATTTTACAGGTAAAATCTCAATTTTCCCATACGCAAGTGACCTCATATGTAGTTGGAATATTGTTAGTGACCAAGAATATCAACCGATGCACCAGAGAGCATACCATAAGCGTTTCAGAATCTGGAATTTGCTTGCAATCCTCAAACATGTCAATTTGAATAATACCAGCATTGTTCACCAGATGATCCACTGTTGCATAAACCCCATGACTCGTAGTAAGACGACAACTCCTGTGGAAAAACATTGCACAAAAATTGAAATTTAAAAGAGATAAAGAGGATCATTACATTGGCCAAAATGATTCACTGCCTCATTAATAAACCGTTCACAGTCTTCAACCTTTGAAACGTCAGCAGAGATGACTATAACATCCGGTGACCCCAGCAGCCGGGCCTTATCAGCAACTGCCGAAAGACGTTCCTCTCTTCTAGCAGCAAGGGCTAAACATGCTCCTCTCCTAGCATACTCGTATGCAAGATACTTAAATACATCAAAAAAATACAGTTAGAGCATTAGCAAGTAGTATCCCAGTTATAAAGCAGGGTAACAAGATTCCAAATCTTTAGTCTGCATAATATGTCGGACAATTATATCTGTGCAGAAAATATATACCAACCTCGCCAATACCTGAAGAAGCCCCGGTGATTAGAACTACTTTTCCTGCCACCTTTTCACTATTTATAGATCTTTCTATGCAACTTATAAACTTAAAAATAAGAAACCACGGCAATGAGAGAAGTAGCAGAGTCAATGTTATAGGAGGAAGTACAATGTTCAGGATCTTGTGAATCAAATCCATGTTGTAATTCAGTAAGGTCGAAGAGGAAAGAGCAATTTCTGTTTCTTGTTTAGCCGAGCCCAGATTCTCGAAAAGGGCTGTCGCCACTATCAGAATTTTGGCTTGAAAGGTTCTGCTGCCGTAGTTGAACGTGATTAGTAATGAACTAAAATCAGGTTTCGCGAGATTCCGGATTGAAATTTAAAATAATGACAGTCAAAGTTGGAGAAGACAAGTATTTCATATCCTATAAAATTGCAATCAGAACTTTGACCGCTTATGCTCCACATTCATGCAAATGTGTTCAAATTCTACTTGTAAGAGCGTGCAAGTTCAGTATAAAGTCCAGCGTTTGAAAATGCATTTTGGCTGCGTTAAAGCGTTTTCCAAAATGTTTTTGGGCTGAAAAAGCATTATCAATCCAGATACATTTTTGCAAAACCACCTACACAGCATTACTAGGTTACATCCTATAGCTAATCATAGTAAAACCCGAACACAATAAATGGACAAGATCTATCCATATGCTAAAACTTCTCTTAGCATTTTACCATCTAATAATACATCAGGACTTACCATAGTCTAAAGAGAACTAAAACAAGAAAGGGCAAATCTTGTTGCTCAATTCATGGGACTTGAATTTGAATCTAACTTTTGATTTTGAATTCAATAATATGGATTTGGTAAGAAAAATAAATCAATAAAAAATTAAGTTGTTACCATTTTTTATTATGCAACACTTAAATTTTATTCATTCAGTTTGCATTCGATAATGTAGATTTAAGTAAATGACGACAATCATGTAGGATTTTAATCCCAATTCAAGAATCAAGATGCAATGAATCTATAGCACGCATATACCAACCCAAAGTGATTTGTTTGCAATTTTGTAAGAAAGAAAATGCATGTAATTCCAATCGACAATTGCGTTTTCTACATAGAACATAGAAAGAAAAGAAAAAATTAAACAAAAGATATGAAGAATAATGCCTTCTTCCTACAATATGCCCACTAACATGTTGTACAAAAACAAAACATAAATTAAACTGGAATGGACAATCGGGATATATATGTCTAATAGCACCAAGAATAAATCACAAGAAATTCATCAAAAACAAAAATTCAACATAAGAAACATAGCTCAGCCTCGTGAAAACCGTATCCAGAGAAGCATTGGATAAGAACAGACAATTGAAAGAAAAAGAGAAAAAAAAAAAAAAAACCAGAGACAGTGAAAGAACACATACCAGGAAGCAGAAAACTGCACTTATAGCCGTTCCTCTTTATTGGGAAAAGCAATTAATTAAAAAAAAAGAAGAAGCAAGTCTTGGTTGCCTTATATATAAATAAATAATAGGAATATTTCCCTTAAAAATCGAATCTCAAATTCTCAATCAAATTTCTTAATCCCCCATTTTTGGAATTCACATAAATGTTGTACAAATTCTGGTCAAATATCAATAATATTTCCTTTTTTTTTTCTTTTTTTCTTAAAAAAAAAAAAAAACAGCAATTACAATTGCATCATCACTCATATTTTGCTAAAAATTAACTCCTACTTAAAAGAAACATTATATGTAGCAGTACAAACTTATATACATACATACATACGTGTGTGAATCTAGCTTTAACTGCCAAGCTATCCACCTTCTACGCATTTGTATGAAGAAAGGGATTTTTTCATATAAGAAGCTGGTATAAAAGCCATAGTACTACTGCTATGCCTTAGTAGGAATATCTTCAGATTAAAAGTTCCCCAGTAAACAGTTCGCTTTTGCTTTGATTATAACTACAGAACATATATGCTTCGGTGATAACTAGAGAACATACACGCTTACTAATCAAGCTAAACCTCCTTTTAAGTTCTGACGCCAACACACAGACTATAAACTGTTTAATTTATTGATACACCACTCATATCTTTTACAAGCCAACCGAAAAGAGAGACATTGATAGTGAACTTCACAGAAGTTGTCTATGCACACAGCATTCACAGCGCTATATATGGTTTCATTCTGTTTTGAGCTCAGGTGTTTGGTTACTTGCAGGGTAAAGGATTTTCTTGGCTCCAGTGCCATCAAGAACTTTCTTGCTAGGCGCTTCTGTTGCCGGTTCGTCTGTTCTAGTGATATAGATCAATCGGTAAAACCATTCGATGGCATCAGGGCAGAGAATTTTCCACACCCAGGTGACGTGGAACCATGCCGGCGTTGTCAGGTACTTGTCTCCTCGGCAAGCACTGTTCACTATGTCCTTGGCGCATCCGCTAGCGGTCTTGACTTGGAAACCACTCACTTGAACCTACTCAGCCAAACAAAACAAACAAATACGTCATTTGAGTCCACATAAAGAAGAACAGCACCAAGTTTCAGCTCTAGCCCAGAATATCAAATTATCGATCTAGTGAGTAGTGACAGTAAGTTTTTGAAAATGCTGTTTCTCGCAATATGGAAAAGAAAAGAGAACTTACATCCCTCAGGTCTTGATCCACGTCCATTGTGCTTTCCTTCATCCAATTCTTCCCTTGGTTCAATTCAGACTCTATGAACCCAGTTGCCACAACCAATACATGAACACGCGAACCTAATTCAACTCTTAACGTATCGAAAAAACTGAGCATAGCGGCTTTGCTCGCCTGAAGATCAGCAAATCAATGTTAGAATCGAACTCAATATCGAATATATGCAAAGAGGAATTGGAATTATTAACTCATATATTAGTTAGAGAATACAAAACTATAATTACGTTGTAGATGCTCATTCTTGGTGTCGGTAACCATGAACCGGAGGAGGAAATGGCTACAATCTTGCCTCCACTATTTCGTAGGTATGGAACTGCAAAACGGGTTGTATAGGCTGAACCCCAGAAGTTTGTATCCTGCATTGCAAGATTTACACTTAATATTTTCCGAACCATATATTGTAAACCAAAACAAGAAATTTATGTAATTGAAACCAGACAGAAAATCACCATTATGGTCCTAAAACTGGTGATATCTGCCATTTCTTCAAGCATAGCAACTTCATTGATGCCAGCATTGTTAACCAGATGATCCACTACATCACATATACATGATACCATGCACAGTAAGTACATATGAAATGGGAAATCCTAGATAAAACTTAAGTCTCTTATTGCCCAAATTTTTTATAGAATTTTTCTAAAAATAGAAAAATAAACAGGAGCACCCCAATTTTAGCAGTTATGAGCTTTGTAAAGCACTTGAAAGTTAGTTGCTTACATCTACCGAAATAATTCACTGTTTCCTCAACCATTCGTCTACAGTCTTCCACCCTCTGAACATCTGCAGTGATCATGATAACATCAGGAGAGCCAATGTACCGGGCTGTTTCTGCAACTTCAGTGAGACTTCTTGCTCTCCCGGCTACAAGAGCTAAGAAGGCTCCTCTACTAGCATACTCATAAGCCAAATGCTGCAGCAAAAAGGAACATCATATTCTTAGAAAAATAAAAAACAGAAATAGAAAAACAAGTTCTGATCTAAACGTTTCATTCTGCCATGTTTCTTGTTAGTAAATTAACTTCATGTTACCCATTTTTTGATGATCTATTTTTTTTTTTTTAAATAACTATCAATATAAATACTGTATTCATCAATTTCAGGGTAGAATGAGCTTCACCTGATTTTTTTTTTTTTTTTTGAGGATATGATCAACCATAGTACATTTTCAATCTTGAAATTGTAGGTACCCCTAATGGTATGCGTTCATCAATATATATATATTTTTAGGCATGTTATTAAGTTGCATATAATTCTGATATTTTAACAGGTGGGCTAGTCATTTAGCCTTCTTCAAACACAGATCTCTGCCCATATCCTATATGCATACCGGTCCAAAACCCATTTGAAAAACTACTCAAAATAACCAACCTGTCCTGCCCAAATACCAGGAAGAAGCTAAAAAATAAAAAATTATTAGGTTATGACCAAAAAGTATCCAATCCGATCCCATACGTCAGTGACCTAGGACAAAGTCGCTAAACTAAGGTCTTGCCCAAATAATCTCATAGTGTTATGGCAGATACCGTAATTGGGGGCAAAAAGTTTCCACTCAAATTCCTATTCCAAAGAGCTACATATATTCGGAATTCTGGGGAAAAAAAAATCATACCATGTATAAATAAATCATTCAACAAAATTGTCATTGGTATTTTCCTAGACTAGAATTTGGTCAATGGGCATGTTCAAAACAAGAATAAAATAATAAAACTTTCCTAGCATGCAGGACTGATATGTGAGATTTATATAAAACTGAATGCAGATTATTATTGGATTACCTCACCAACGCCAGATGATGCACCGGTTATAAGGACAACCTTGCCAGCAACATTTTCACTGAAAACAGAGTACACAACATAGACGAAACATTTATAAAGAAGGTAAGGTGGCAATAACATGCATAGGGAGAAGAAAGTTAAAGGACGAGCTACTAAATTGAGGAACGTGTAGATGAGCTCCATGATCTCAATTAGTCTGTTAAATTAACAAGACCTTAGCAATCTATCTATCAAGAGAGATATGTGAATATGATTTATATGAAAAAAAAAAAATGGAAGGTGGTAGAAGGAGTTTTATGAAGAAGGTGGTGGCAATATTGCATGGCATAGACATGACACGTCTTGAAGACAATTTTCTTTTGACGTTGGACGTTTGTATTGTGTCTGCCACTTGCTGAAATGGGAATCATTTTGGAGCCAAATTCAAGGTTTCTAAACCAAAATTAGGATAACGAAAACAAATGGAGTGAACAACATGTCGTGTATGTATGAACGACACTCTTCCTCTTTGCATTCTAGGAATGTACTCCTCGTTTGCTTGCTGGGTACCTCGCCTCATTCACAAAAGCTCATGGCTTGGATGGGGTTAATTACACCTTTATTATCACAGTTTGATTAATTTACTCCATCTACTACTAATTTGATTAATAGAATCCTTCATCATGTATTTCATTTACAATCAAGATCGTCTATCCATAAAAATATTAGTATTAATTTGTTATTATTTTCGATGCATGACACATGTCATTATTGACTAATTAAATTTCGTTTAGTATTCAAAATGTAAAAGAACAAAACGTTTGAGTTTTTTTTTCCACTTAAAAGTAATTAAGAATAAATAAAAATTTTCTAAGCATTTTATCTTTTACAAATTGAATACCAAATCAAATGTAGTTAACATGTCATGTTGGGCATTAAGCATGATAGGAAATCAGTGTTAACGTCATCATGATGGAGGATTATTTTTGTAAATGGAATGTATCATAGAAGCATTCAATTAATCAAATTAGTAGGAGATGAACTCAATTAATCTAACTATCATAATACAAGGACCATCCGTGCAATTTGTCCTTTGGATATGGGTCGATATGGACGACAAATCGTCTATCTGAAGAACAGAGAATTTTTTTTGCATCGAGAAGAGAAAGTGAACAGCGAATCCTCTTCGACTGTGGCTTTGAACGAAAGGAAAGCAGAGGGTTTATTCACCCGTATACAATAATATTTCGAATAGTGTTGCAGTGTCAGGCCAAGGTTCATGCTTTACTGCCTATTTCATCTCTCTCTCTCTCTCTCTCTCTCTCTCTCTCTCTTTTGTTTTTTTTTTTCAAAACGTGTTTCCTACCTGAAGTCTTGCTCTTTTACCTTTTTTAGTGATTAACCATAAAAAAAGATGATATTGTTTGAGATTGTCTTCTTTTTTCTTTTTCTTTTTTGCATTCGAATTACATATGTAAAGCTTTTAAAGGGTCGGATTTGCATTAGATTATAATAGATTTATATTTGATTTGTTTAATTAATAAAACAGATGTGATCGAATCTTATTTAGTTTTAAAAATGTGAATTTGAATCCTAACAATTGTGGATTACATTCGAAGTTTTATTGGATTTATCACTTGAATTTTGTAAAAATAATTTTAATTGCTACATTTGATATATTACTTGAATATAAAATATATTTCAATTATTACTTGTATAATAATATATTAAGATAACATTTTATCTATCAATTTTATAAAAAAATCAAAATACCACACAATTTAAAAGCATAAAATCAAATAATCCTAATAAAAATTTTGTTTTAAACTAGGTAGACAATACCATAAAACTAAAATAATAATAATAATAAATAATTTTTATTTCTTATCCACATGGTAGCAAAATAAAAATTTATTAATTCAAATTTCAAAATGATAATACTACAAATCAAGATCTATAGAGAAAGAAAGGGGAAAAAAAAATCTATTAATATTATCATATATTTTTAATAAGTTACTTCAAAAAAATTTATGAGTACATGTCATTTTACTAATATTAGTAATATCAAATTAACTAAATAAGTACTAACCACCAAGAGATGTGGTTTACCGATAAAGGAGTTGTTTTGATTTGATCCAAATCAAGGTTTAATTTCTATTAATTAGGGATAATTAGTCATAATTATTTCTTATTGTAACTAGGGTAGGGCTCATTTAATCTAAAGAGGATGTCCAATGGTTGACCAAAAGTTAAACTTATTCTAGCACCGACTTAGCTTAAAAATTAATAAATTTAGTCTCGATTGATGCGAAAAGTAAATCGAGGACACCCAACTATATGTAAATATATATATATATATATATATATATATATATATATATATATATATATAAGTACTAACGTTGCATTTTCTTAAATTTTTTTTTAAATTCCATTTATGTCGGTTCTTTAATAATACAAAATATTTAGTATCTCAAATTCTAACCTCTAATTATTTGTTTCTATACTTTCCATTAATAAGTGAAATGAAAAAAAAAATTGATATAATTTAGAGATTTAAGTGTTGTAAAAAAATTCATACAAAGCACTTTGTGGTCTACTTTTACCATTTCAATTAGTTTGAGCTATATTTTTAATCTAACATTAAAATGGAATCCAATTCACAAAAAGTTGGTTCAACATGCTATGATTCTTACCATCAAGTTTGAAATAAATAGAGCAATTATTTTTAAATATAGTAATTTCTCAACTCCATGACAACTCTTATCATGGAAAAAATATAAACGTGCACTTAAAAAAAATAAATAAATAATTGATTACTGCATAAAAAATAGAAATATAATGTGTTTAAGTAAATGAAATATCATAATTTTTTTTATTTAAAATTCAATCACTTGTAATAAGTATTGCCTCCACCATCTCTTGAAATAAACATACTCGATGATCATCAATAACTATAACTCTCATATTGAATGCATTATCAGAAGAAATAATAGTTGCTGGAAAACATCACAAGCGATTTTCGCAATGATATGAAATGTATCACAATTGGTCTTCTACCATTACAACTATAAAAATTATATATATATATATATATTTTTTTTTTGAAAATAATTCGTCACTATAGGAGGATATACACTATTTGAACTTTAGAATAAATAAATTTTAAATTTCAATTTATTTTTATATTTATATTTATTATTTTTAATTTTGGGTTGAATTATTATCGAATCGAATAAAGATATATTTAGATTTGATACATTTAATAAACAAATTAATAGATTCGGATAATGATCGGACTTGGATAAGAAAAAAAAATTTACTGATATATTTAGATATATTGCATTCTGTTCAAGATCGGATCTATTTATAGCATTATCTACATGGGTCATAGTTAATCTCCTTGTACTCTCTTTTGCAATCCATGCTGTCAGGAATAATTCTGATCCGAATAGACCATGCATTCTGAGAAAGTATTCAGTGCAGAACTCAGATTCAGTGTCCCTCCTTGCTACCTTAACAACCGAAAAAAGTATCAAAGAGGGGATACTGTGAAACCAAGTTTCTGAGTTCAAAATTTGCAGCATCACGTGATCCAATCTGTTTCACATGGATTACTTATTCGTATTCATTTTCAAGTTTGTTAGAAGCAAGCACATGTAATAGTAAAAGGATAGACTATTCTAAGTTGTCTGAACCCATTATTACATGGCATTTATGTACTAGCTAGGATAATTACATAGAGGAAATCTTCACTTCAAGCTAAGATTCTTGTTCAATTGAAGGTCATTTACAGGACCATCTATTAGTTTAAACTCAGCCAGATTCAATCCACAAGTACCAAAATACTAATTCATACCACTAATTAACTTGGTTTTGTTAACTATAGCATACTAAATGACCAATAGCCTAGCTTCAATCATCCTTTGTCTGTTTACCCTCGCAATGAAATCATCAGCCCTTTTGTTCAATACCTCTGTCGGCAAACTGAACTCTTCTTCTCCTTCTAATTTCTTCTTTTCCATGCGTACTTGCAAATTTCCCTCACTCAATCCTTCCCCTCCATTTTTTTCTCCGCTTTCACAGGTTCTGTTCGGTTTTTCTTTGAAAGATTTCTCCATTTTTGCCTCTTTCTTCTCTTCAACAGTAGAAGATGTTTGAAGGTTCCTTTTTTGGTCAATGTACTCATCATAGAAAACATCAGTAGCTGATGGAGAGTTTGAAGTAAAGAACTTGGACTCCCAAACAAGGACAAAGATTATAAGGTTGCCAACTATGAAAATAAACTTGGGGCTGAGGAAAAAAGAACTTAGTTTTGGAAGAGAGACGAAGAGAAAGAGCTTAATGGAATGAAATAGGGAGGGAAACCAGAAAGGGCTGGAACAGAAAAGAGAACAAGTCAACACAGTCAAAGAATACAGGAAAAAATTGTCAAGAAGTTGATGCTTCTTGGACTTGTTAATTGCATGAATCTCTCTCAGCTTAATGAGATCCATTTCTTGATTTTGCATAGAAGAGGGGTTAGTTGGGGTTTTAAGGTAAGTTTAGAATTTCACTCTATCCTTTAGGAAAGGAATAGAGACGATTCTGAGAAAGAGTTCAGCGGCAAATTTTAAAGACCACTAGAGAGAACTGCCATCTGACTGAACGAAAGGCATTGCAAATATGGAATTATATAGAACGGGAAAGGAGGTTAATTTGGTAATATTCAACGCATGCTACTTTACTTTCCTTTGAAATGGTTATATGACTTTATGAAAAGCTATGAGAGATTGATTAGTGCTTATTGGTTTCTTTTCTCTTTTGGCTATACCTGCAGCTTTCCTGTAGTTGCTGTTATGCTAATATGGTAACAAACTATTAGAATAATTATTAAGGTAATCTGTGAAAACTGTAAGCATTCTCCTTTCCTTTCTATTTACATGAAAGAGTGAAAAATTTATCTTAATGATTTTTGTTGCCAGGCATCAACTGACAAACTTTAGCTTAGTGGTTTTAAGTTGGAGGGATAGGGAAGTGTTTAATGATTGATGAATATATCAGAAAATGAAAACCAAGAATAGTGGCTTAGGATCAAGGAACCGTACGTAGTGTGCCTTATAATTAACATAGTGAATGAGGAAAAAAATTATACTGATTAGACGTGTCTCCTGTTGTCTTTGAAGCTTTGCTTCAATAATTACACTTCATACATCATTCCTGTACCAATTGGTGAAGTCACAGTGACACTTGATAGAGTTGGGAACCATGGGCTTTTTCTTTTTCAGAATTTTAAGAGAGAGAGAGAGAGTAATACCTAGCGTATTAGTGTAGGAACTCCACTTAAAAAAAAAAAAAAGCATTAGATCTTTTTCTTTCCTGAGTGCTCAGTGGAAGAGAAGTGGAGGGGTTTGCTTCAAGCAGTTGCTAAGCTTTTCCTTTCATAATTCTACCAGTAGAAGGAACATTGTCGAGTGGACTAATTAAAAACCGGAAGCTGGCATAATTCCTGGGAAGTGGGGCATTTTTAAAGTTGCTGGCAGAATAAGCTTTTTTGGATATAACATCAGATTGCCTATGCATCCACAAAAACAATAATTGAAGCTTTTTATGAAATTAAAGGCTTGGTTTGGGTTTATGACTTATTTTTAGATATCATATACAAACCTGCTGTAGTGGTTCTAGGGCTAGAAATAGAGGGCAGGTGCTAGTTGGATAATTAACGACTTTAGGACATCAAGAAATGTATTCTTTGTTTTGTATATCTTCATTTTTAATGTAAAATAAACTTGGGAAATAGATAAGCAAGATATTGGCTGTTTGCTACTAGCACAATAGTTTTGTTTTTGTCTTCTGATAAAAAAAAAAAAAAAAATGCAATTAATATTTAGCAGCCTCTTGCACACACTTCTCTAGCTTATTGTCCACTGAACAGAGTAAAAGAATTGCATGCTTTGTCTTGGAAAAATTGCTATGGTATGCATCCACAGCACTAGATGTATAAACAAGTATAGTATACATCTCTCGTTCCAAGATACCTTTTATGATTGGTAACTTAAACTTGGTTAAATAATATATGTTGGAAGTAGGAAAAAGTTACTACGTTGATTTCCTAGCAAAAAAACTGGATCGATTACTTTAATCGAAAATTTTAACATTTTTTTATCTTCTTGTGTCTAACGTGATTTTTCTTTTTGCTCAGCAGCAACACTATTGATGTATTTTGGATCACTATCAGCTTGTCTACTTGTATTGATATCTAGCAACATAAAGAAGGCACCTTCCCCAAATACCAACCAAGCAGTGATTAGTGATGGTTTAAACAGTTATTATATTAGATGAATAAGTTTGGTGAATCAAGTACACATTTTTTAAGCAAACAAGTGTGCAATCTTGATTCAAAGCTTAGTCATTGTAGTAGCTTTATTAGGTAGTGAAAGCTCCAAGGCCCCTTTAGATGCATCTAGAGGAGCTATTTTTGCAATTGCTTTCGGTGAGGTAACTAAGCATTATTGATTTTCTCTAGACAGATGTTCCATTCTTTGAAATTCAAAAGTAAATATTGCCTGACTTTAGTAATTCCTCAAGGGCACATTCTATAGAGTTTCCCTTGTTGATTTTTATTTTTATCTTTTAACTTTTTTTTTGTGGTTGCGTGTAAAGATTGAAAGGACAAGCATGCTTTTTCTAAAGGTTAGATTTCCTGATTTCACCCGAAGGATTCAAATCGTTTAAAATTTGAGTTTCTGGTACGTTTAAGTGAGAGAGAAAATCAAGGAATGGCCCATCTGTGCGTTAGAATCTCTATGCATTTTAAGGCCATTGGTTTACTTTCCTCTCTACCTGTTTTTCTATTATGTCATAGAGAGATCAAGAACATTACTGCATGCCTAAACCCTGTACTGTCAATTATTAGTGGATACGAGGTACAAATGGAGCATGCAAAAGTAGCTTTTATATATTCAATGAATATTAATAGAGCACATGAAGATTTATGCTCATACTATATAGTTTTTGTGGAAGAGACGAAACTTCAGGGCAACGGCTCAAAGGAAAGGTTTGGTAAAGCATGATTGATAGAAAATATTCCACCCCAACTAGGTACCTTAATGCTTAAACAAGAAAAAAAAAATGTAAAGTGCCCAAGCACATGGTATTACTAATCATAAAGAGAAGAACAACTGGAGATGGAACTTTCTTGGCTTTTGAAAAAATCTTTGAGACCTTCTTTTAAAGGGCATGAATGTGCATATACCTGTAGGTACGTGCATGTACTCCACAGTACAAGCAATGGTATTAGTATACCTTGTTTTGAGGGAAATCTAATTAAACAAACACAAACTATAAGTACCGAGACAAAGAATGGGCATTAGAGGTTGATTTTTGCTACAGGTTCAAAGCCATTATTGCTGTATAAAGAAAGTTAAAGAAGCTAGCCGACCCTGTGCACGTTTTTCTGCATATACAAGAATCATTGGTGCCTTTTGGCACACAAGGAGCATAAAGAAATGCGAATTCACCGATCTGCTTTCAGGCTTTCACGATTTGATTAGTGATTTTGCGTATTAGTTATGGCATTTTTTAGTACAAATAATATTTATTATATAATTCTTGCTCTTCATATTCTATAACAAGTTGTTGGGAGCGATTTCTTTTGAAAATTGGAAAGCTACCTCTATGTTGCATTTTTATCAAATCCTTTTGGTCTATTGTCGAACCAAAATAATATTCGAATTTTCTCCCTGACCTTAGAATTTGGAGTTGGTGAGGCACTGGCCTGATAATTAAGAGGGTGCCAAGAATCCAAATCCTTAGGAATCAAAGCTAGCCCAAGCTCAACTAGCCAAACTCGTAAGGTCATTACCCTCTTTTATATCTAGAGGCCCATTACACTAGCCCAGTTAGCGTCCAATCGTTTCTCATTGGGCAACCCAGTTCTCTAGATGGATCGACAACCTTCTATTAAATCAATGCAAAAATAATTTCAATTGTCTTTTTTTCCATCAATGTGAAGCTGATGGAAAATAACTTTTTGTTGTCTAAACTTTCCTACCAAAATTATAGATAGATTATCTAGTAATTCCGTCAAAAAAATTCTCACATGATAAATTGAAGGATATATTTATAATTTTATTTTCAAAGAAAATACACTAAAAATAAGAAAACCAGCAAAAATATAACTAATATGGATTTTAATGAATAAAAAAAGTAATAAATTTTTTTTTTTAAAGAAAAAGTTCAACCATTAAAATCATCAAATACCCTAAATTCACTTAAAATTCAATAAATAAATTTTTAATAATTAGTTCATTTTAAAAAATAAAAGTGAATAAAATTAGCATATATAGCATTTTCAAATTTTATTTTTATTTTTATAGAATAAAATTTTAAAAATTTTATTTCAATTTAAAGTGAATTTGTATTTTTATTTTTTTTTAATGATTTCGTTGATTAATTATTATTGATATTATTTTAAAAAATTCTGTTTGTACTTTTTTTATGCTTTTGTTTTAAGTGAATTTACTTTCAAATCTAATTTGTATATGTGGAAAAAAAAATTCAGGATTTAATTGAAAAACTATTTATAGTTTTTTTTTTTTTTTTTAAAGAAAGGGATTGAAATATGCAAAATATAAAGGCATTTTCCGTAACTTTCCTAAGAGGCAGACAAAATGGCCTTATTGATAAATGAGTGAAGTATCAGGAGAATGAATTAATAGTGAATATACTTTTAGGGAAAAAAAGTGATAAAACCCATATACTTTTAGAAAATAAAGTGAAATTAATCCGTGAATCAACTACCAAGGCTTTTTAAGGCAAAATGTTGCGATACTAGAGGACGAATAATTCGCCAAATCGTATAACGCATTAAAATCCAAAAGTTGTTTTTAGAAACAAACCTAAGATGTGAGATTTTATTTATTGTTATTATTTTTTATTTTTGTAAGACTTAGCTCCAGAGGCAGTTGGCTTTTGTTTCCCAAATTATCTTTTAAAATTTGGAAAAAGAGTTCATTAGCCCATCAAAAAGGTTGGCTTGATAAAAAAACTCCAGTTGTTTAATTTAAGTCTTCTCAAATTTGAATACTTGTATACGTAAATAATGTAGAATTGATCGAAACCTTTAAGCCTTGGAGAGAAAAAAAAATCACTAATTCGAGTAGTAATTAACGGTTTATGATCCAAATAGCGTAATTGAAGGGAGAATGATTTACAAACAAATTTCTCATACTAAATTTACAAGCAATAAAGTGATTAACCTTCCATAAAAATAAAAAAAAGTAATTGGTACATATATTTATAAGAAATTGTAGACTAAAATTTAATTCATTAGTCCATTAAGCCATTAACTCCCTATTCATAGGGATAATCAATAAATGAACTTTCCCCCCTCCAATACATCCTTTTCAGTTGGGCATGAGTCGGCCTATATCTGAATAAAATCCGATAAACATGGTTGTGTGTACTCACTCCCTTTCCTCTTTTTCCCTTCCTGAATCAAGTGTAGAAACGAATTTTGATGCCAAATAATTAAACAGCTAACCAAATCTCACCCACATAATCAAGATGGTAAACACGTAAGAATGAAGAAAAATTAGGCAGAGCATCATCGTCAAAGGGACAATCATTACCATCTTTCATCATCATATAGAATTTCAACATATCTCATTAACATTAGCATATGAAAGGAAAGTCACAACATTCAAACTTGTACATGGGTTAAAGATTTACAACCAACAAAGCGAAAAAGGGTAAAGCAGAGAATTGAAGAAAAGAAGATCCACAATAGCCAGCTGCCGACTATCCCTTAACTTGTCTCCCTTCCTTAGTAACTTTTCTTCCCTCTTCAGTAAGCCTCACGTTCTCCCTGCCCATGCACAATTCATGATCATAAATTATAAGAATCCCATCAAAAAAACAATTAGGAACAAGTTAAAGAGCCTCAAAATTTGTGGCTTATGCATAAGTAAATTAATGATACAAGTAGATCGAGTATTACTTTGTTGGAGCTTATGAAGTGAACAAACTTGCTCTTGCCTTTGCCACCACCACGGCCACTACCACTACCACTACCACTACCATCGGGAGACTTGTGATGGGGATGATGATCGTTTTCCCCTATATATTTCCTGATATGTTCTCTCACAAACCGTTCATAAATGAAAGCTGCCCCATTAAACTGCGGTAGAACCAACCATGCTGCCAACGCCAATTTCAAAGAGTACCATATAGGAATCCTACAATAATGTAATAATGTCAACCCCATTAACCAGAGAATATTTTACTACTTGAGGAGAAAAAATTATGATAATTAATAACCAAAAAAGAGAAGAAAATTTGGAATATGACTTTCTAAATGAATAATTACCACTGTAAAATGGATTGAAGCAGCATCTCTGCAAGAGTTAGAAAAGAATATAAGATCCAATAAGCAAGCCACTGCTCATCATCCTCTCTTGATGGACTCTCTATAGCAACTACTGATGCATACCTATTTACCAAAAGAACAATTAGATTGATCATTTGGTTCACAAACACAGTAAAACAAATAAAAAATACACAAACACAACAAAGAAGATTGAAACTTTTGGAAATGGTTCAGGTTCTTACAAGGGGTATAGCAACATCACGACTGGCCTGCATATCATTAAACAAACATAAATTAGATCATAAACCAAAATATTAATGCCTAAAAGAAAGAAAGAAAGAAAGAAAGAAATATCTGGGGTCACTCAAAATTTACCCAGATAGTGTGTGAACATGAGTGAGAAAAGTCCATAAACGACCCATCTTTGCTGATCTCGGTCTTGTTGTTTTCTTAGTGGCAACAAAAATCAAAGAAACCGAGTAAACTGAAACTGAAAGTTAAAAGAGGGGGAGGTTGAAAGCAATCAATGAGAACGAGAAAACTGTAATGACAAGTGGACAAGAACTTGAAATTTATATGGAGTTCTTGAAAACACTTGGCAACAAGGGAGTAAGTATCAGATTCTGCCTTAAACGTGTCGAACTAGAGTTAGCACCGTCCAGATTGGCAGTGATCAATAAAGCTCAGGTGCGTGCAGGGCCATGTTGCATTTTAATCTTAAAATTCACAATCATTATTACTTTAATCACATTTTTTTTATATAAAAATATTTTAGAACAGACCCCAGAAAGGTCACCGCAACTAAGAATCTTGTCTCAGCGGAGTCTTTAATGAAAGTTTTACCTCAATTGGATTATCAAAGTATTCCTAGATTCTCAACTAAGTTATGCCTGTATGAATCTTTGCATGTGTTTAACGGAAAACTTTATGTTTCGTACCAAAAGATCTATTTTATTACAAAAAATGTATGGTTTGGATGGAATTCGTGAACAAATGTGGACAAAAAGAATCAATTGAGAATTTCTTAAACTCTAGGGACCCAAATGATATAAAAAAAACTTTTTATGGACTCAGTTAAGACTACCCAGGAAACTTTCTGAGGTTTGCCCAAGATTTTCGATGGGCTTGTCCCTTTCGCAAGCCGAAGCCACCTGCTCACGTTTTTGAGATATAAGTCGGTGACACGTGGTCCAAATATATTATGACAAGATCCTACTTTTGAAACATTTTCATGGGCGGATAGATCAAGACAAATGTTGGGGCTAATAATTATAATTTTTAAGGTACTTGGATAGGCCTGTTAAATGGTGTTGGGCCAACGGAAAAAACATGAGGATCTGTTGATCAAGGACAACATAAATGGGTTCAAGATAAAAAAAATGATTAAGGGAAGAGTGATCAGGCCCAGTTAATGTTCTTCCAAATTCTAGCACATCCTATATCAAATCATTTTGTCAAATCAAATGTTATTGTCATCTATAGCGGTTTTTAGATTATGTGGTTCAACCAATGAATCACTCAACGAAAAGAAAATCATTTAAATTTATCTAAGCAGGTTGTTGATCCTATAAAAGATCCATTGTCCGGATAAGAAGCAAATTATATTCAACCAACCCCCACCAATCTTCGAGGAATTTAATCTATAGATTATGAGAGAATTCACACAATAGTCAATGATTTTTTTTTTTCCTTTCTTTCTTTCTTTCTTGGAACTGCATATAATTCGTTGACAATGAAATAGAATTGTTTCGTCAAAATTGATCGAAGGAAAAAAAAAAAAAAAAGCTGTCATAGATAACAAGTAAAACAAATATAAACTGGATTTGTTTTTCTGCCAAAGACATACTCCAATTATTAAAATCAAGCACTAACCATACGTACGACTTGAGATTATAATTATATTTAGAGGTATCCTTTTTTTAGCTCACAAGAAAGGAATTAGTGGCCTAAGTAACTATTGATGATTGTCACAATATTCAGATAATTAAAACTAAACAGAACCCTAGAAACAAGGCAAACACCACCATTCAAATCCCGATACATTTGCGTGTAAGCTAAGAATTGACACCATTCAAAATTCTTGAAGAGTAGTTGAGCTGCTTATTAATCTGTTTTTTTTCCCCTCTTTTACTAATGCTTTTACCCTTCTGGTTGAAGAGAAAACTATATTTTCTTCCAATCTTTTTTCTAGGTTTCCTGTATAACTATGTAGTTAGACAAACAAAGACTTTGAAAAAGTTCTTTTATTGGAATTAACCAATCTAAGCGAGAAGCTTCGCCTTCTTGCCTTTTTTTCAAACTTTAAAAAAAATTGTGGAGCTCTAATATGCTTGTGTTCAATGAATGATCACTTAGCAATGGCATCAATGGCGACAAAGGGTGCTACGGGATTATATTTGCCGGGGAATTTGCTCCACAAGGGAGAGAAAAAGAATAATGTGACAATATTGGCCATGACCAAGGCAGGATTTTCTTGTTCTTGGCACATGATCACACCGAAAAAACGAAGCTTTTACGCAATGGCAAGTGCCGGTATTCCTCCAAGCTTGGACATGAAAAATGGGAAAAAGGTGAATGGGATTCATGTAAAGGAGACTCCACCTCCTTACATCGGCACTACAAATCCCAGTGTGTTGGCAATCGATAGCAGTGTTATTGAACCTCACATATATTTGCTTGGGAGATTTGTGGAGGATAGGTTAGTTTATAGGCAGACGTTCAGTATCAGGTCTTATGAAATTGGACCTGACAAAACTGCCACCATGGAAACATTGATGAATCTCCTTCAGGTTAGTTGGTTAATTTTTGTTATCTTATTGAGGTTATGGCATATGCCATTAACATTTACGTTCTTCCTGCAAAACTTTCAGACAATCTGTGTAACGTTCACTTTCAATGCCAAACGTTTGTGGTCTATAATGCACTTGGAATTCACAGCATCAAAGCACTGATCTTGCTAAATCAAAACCAAGAAATAAATAGAATAGTTTGAAATGACAAGAAATGGTGAAATCTAGAGACAACAATGGGAGGATAACTTTTTCTTTTTTCATCATTCTGCAGCCTAACATTGAAAATTTCAATTCAAGTTCGATAAAATGAGCTCTACTTGTCAACAAGAAAGCATGTTCTTGAAAAGTTTTTCATCAATGAAATTTGACTTCAACTGCTAATTAATCAAGTTTTTATGGTTAATTAATGTATCACCCAGTGATTGGACTCTATCTATATGCAATGACTAGGAAACTGCGCTAAACCATGTGACAAGCTCTGGACTGGCTGGAGATGGCTTTGGTGCTACCCGAGAGATGAGCCTCAGGAAACTTATTTGGGTGGTCACTCGCATTCATGTTCAAGTACAGCGTTACAGCTGCTGGTATGTTACCTTCTTCTAGTCCCAAATGCTTCTTAAATCATGTTGCAAGGAAAGATTGGATGAGAAAATTTTGCAGATACACGAACTCGAATAAGTACATCTGAATTATTTCAACATGCTTTATACTTTAAACAGACATTCCAAATTAAATTCTTTACGTCGCTAACATTTGTGATTTGAACATACTGTTCCTGGACAATTCAATGTGATAGGGGAGACGTTGTTGAGATCGATACATGGGTTGATGCAACCGGGAAGAATGGTATGCGCAGGGACTGGATAATTCGAGACTACAACACCCAAGAGATAATAACGAGAGCAACAAGGTTCAGCATCTCCATGCTACAAGTGCTAATGAATGATTTCTATCTACTCTTAGTAGTACTTAACTCCTATTATCAATTATCTCAATGCAGCACATGGGTGATTATGAATAGAGAAACAAGAAAGCTATCCAAAATCCCAGATGAAGTCAGGGAAGAATTGGCACCATTCTACATAAACAGGCTTGCAATTCCTGCTGAACACAATGATGTTGAAAAAATTGATAAGCTGACTGTTGAAACAGCAGGGAGAATTCAATCCGGCTTAGCTGTAAGTTGAGATAATTTGGATTTGTAACTTGTACCCTATATTAGCAGTTTACTTTGTGGTCTAAATACTTGTGTTTCTCGACGTTTATTAATTCCTGGAATCATGTATTGATGCAGCCAAGATGGAGTGACATGGATGCCAATCAACATGTAAACAATGTCAAATACATTGGATGGATATTGGAGGTAAGATATCGAAATCCTCATCACTTCTGCGACAGTTCAAAGAGAAATGCAATTAAAGGAGCAGAAAGAATTACTACTTACTGTCTTTTCTTTTTTGTCTTTTGATGTTATGAACATAGAGTGTGCCAATGCATGTCCTTGAACATTACAATCTGACAAGCATGACTCTTGAGTATCGACGAGAATGTCGACAATCAAATCTGCTTGAATCCTTAACAAGCACTAGCGCAGATTCAAACAGCAATTCCAGTAATCGCAAAGCAGACATAGAATACACACATACGCTGCGTATGCAAGATGACAAGGCAGAAATAGTTCGTGCAAGGACAGAATGGAAATCCAAATTAAAGCACAAGTGATACGATTTGATACATGTTCAACCACAACTCTAGGCAGCTCATGCTCTTTTTAAATTTTATTTTTAATTTTTTCGATTTATTTTGCTTCCTTTTTTTTGTAATTAACAATTTGTTGCTTTATATGTTGTTACAAGCACATGTTATTCATTGTGCATAAACTACAATAATTATGCTTCCAACCATTTGTTCCTTTATAGCGCATAAACAATGTAAGTTTTTGGCCGGCTATTATCTAGTTAACTTTCAAATATCTAGACTAATGTTAGGAAATTAATCAAGTAAGAAAATAGAAAAGAAAGAAAAGAACGATTACATAATACGAAATTTACATGGTTCGACAACCTGTACTTATTTCACGGCTACATTAGGATTTCTTATTAGGTTTTATTAAGTGACGACTTCAAATACAATTATTTATAGTATGAACAACTAGAGTTATATATATATAACGGGCCCGTACACCTAGCCTAATATTCTATACACTTTTAAGAGGCTCCACCCTTGAGCCCCTACTAAAGACACTCGTCACCTTGACCCTCGCTCACTAATCGCCTAACGAGATCGTCGTGTGCATAGTGCTTTATACCTGCAGACCTCATTCACATCGGTCTTCATAACTTAACAATCTCTCACTTGTAGACTAATCTCCAAATAGCATTAAAACCTCTTGTAACTATCCCTTTGTCAACCAACTTCAAGTCCTCCTAGTGTAGAGCCTTCTCATCGCTAAACATGAAGGCCAACTAAGGCAATGCAAAGCATCTTTTTATCAATGGTAACTGTCTTAGTCAACCTATCGGTTAGATTATCTAATCTTAAAATCTTGTTCAAATATGTTACCCTATCATCTAACAACTCTCAAATATAGTGATACCTCAACTGAATATGTTTGGTTCTTGCATGAAAAATTGAATTTTTGACAAGATGAGTTGCACTTTGATTGTCACTAAAAAGCTCACTTTCATCATATGTCGTATCCACTTCCTTCGGAAAGTTCTTCAACTGAATTATTTCTCTACTAGCTTTTGAGATAGCCATATACTCGGCTTTAGTGGTGGAAAAAGCAATGCACTTTCGAAGTTAAGATACTTAACTAATAGCTTTATCACCCATAATGAAAACATAATATATTGTACTCTTTCTATTATCCAGATCACCACATAAATCTACATCAATAAATCCTTATAGAATAATATTATTCTTCTTAAAACAATGGGTCATACCTAAAGTACCTTTTAGATAATGAAGAATCCATTTTACTCATTTCTAATGCTTTTTTCCCGAATTTTCCATGTATCTACTACAACTCCCACTATATGAACTATATCAAGTCTTGTGCAAACCATAACATACATTAGGCTTTCAACTGATGATGCATAAAGGATCTGTAGACATTTTCATTTTTTGCTATTCAACTGTCTTTATTGATCGATTCTTGCAAAGCTTGAGATGGCTTCCCAAATTAGTGTTTCGGTCTTCCCATCTTGAAGATTGAATTTGCTCAATACTTTTTTAATATACTTTTCCCAAGATAAAGTCAATATACCTTTTGATCTATCTCTATTAATTCTCATTCCAAGTATCTATTTTGTAGGTCCTCGATCCTTCATTGCAAACTCGTTATACTAACTATTGCTCGAGCTTATTGATCTCTTTCAAGTTAGATCTTGCAACAAGCATATCATCAATATACAAGAATAAAATAAGATAATAGTCATCAAACCTCTTGATTTAACAGCAATGATCCATTTTGTATCTCTTAAAACTATTATCATACATGAACCCATCAAACTTCTTATACCATTAGTTAAGAGGTTGCTTAAACCACTAGTTTCTCTCTCTCTTTCTCTCTCTTTGTTTTAGAACTTCAAAACCTTTTGGTTATTTCATATAGATGTCTCCTTCAAGCTTACAATGTAAGAAAATAGTTTTTATATCTAACTACTTTAGATAGATATTTTCTATAGTCAAAATACTAAGTACCAATGTAATAGTAATCATCTTGACTATAGTATAGAAAATTTTAGTATAGTCAATTTCTTCTTTTTATAAAAAGCCCTTTTACCACTAAGCTTTACCTTGTATATTTTACTACCATCATGCTCTTCTTTGAACACCCACTTATTATGTATAACATTTTTTTCTTCTAGTAACATAGTTAAAGTCCATGTTTGATTATTCTTAAGAGACCTCATCTCTTTTTTCCATGGCTAAATCTCACTTGACATAATCTTTTATGTGCATTCTTTCAATAAATTTTTTTGGTTCTTTAGCATCAATAAGAAGCAAATAGTTTAGGGAAGGTGAAGTATTTTGAGTTGGTATGGTCACTCTGTTAAATCTTCTTAGTCGAGGAGTAGGAGTTACTAGTTCCGGTTTAGCTTCAACTTTCCCATCCTTGTCATCGAATTCTCAATTCTAGAAATATCATTCACTAATATCTCTTCCATTTCAGCTTTCTCACTTTTTTTTACGGGTTTTTTACATTATTAGAATCTATCTCAAGCTCTGTCCTTATACAATATATTCTCATTAAAAGCCACATCCATATGCCTTATTATCTTTCTATTTTAATCATCTCAAAACCGATAACCAAAATCATCAAAACTATAACCAATAAAGTAACATTCTCTAGCCTTAGGATCAAACTTATCTCTATCATCAAATCTTACATGTACATATGAAATACAATCAAAAGTTCTCAAGTTTGTGAAATTTACCTCATATCTTAGCCATACTTCTTCGAGTAATTTGAAGCTTAATGGAACCGAAGGTCCTCTACTTATGAAGTAAGTTGTCGTATTCAATGTGAATGTTTTAGCCAAACTAGAATACAATTCCTACTTCTTGCTCGCTCATTCAAAGTTCTATTCATCCTATCAACAACACCATTTTGCTATAGTTGATCATTTTGATCATTTTGATCTCATTATCTAAATAGTAACTTTAAATTTTATGCTAATATACTCGCCTTTTATTATCTAAATTTAAGGATTTAATCTTCAAACCAATTTGATTTTCAATTTCAACCTTTCACCTTGTGAATACGGTAAATGTTAAAAAATGAATCAAAGAGAAAAATAGAGAAAAAACATAGGAATAATCATACAATGTAGAGATTTACATAGTTCGGTAATTATGTCTAATCTATAGTTGCATTAAGATTTCTTATTAAGTTTTATCAAATGATGACTATAAATATAAGTGATGTTGCCTTTATTTATAATATACATAACTAGGGTTGTAAGAAAAAAACCACTAACGAGCCTATACACTCGGTTTAATATTCGTAGACCTTTTAGGAGCTTCACTCTCGAGCTCATAGAATGAGCGTTACCCCTCGACCCTCGCTTGCTAACCAACTAATGAGACCATCATGTGTGTAGTGCCTTATACTGCAAGCCTTTATCCATATTAGTCTCCATAACTTAATAATCTTCGACTTAGAGATTGATCTCTAAATAACATCAAACCTCTTGTAACCGTCCATTTTCTTAACCAACTCGAAGTCCTCCTAATGTAGTGCCTTCTTATCACTAATTATAAAAGCCAACTAAGGCAATACAAAGCCTTAACTTATTAATGGTAAGCTGTTTTGGTCAATGTATCGACTAAACTCTCCAATTTTATAATCTTGTTCAAATGTATTACTCTATCATCAATAACTTTCGGATATAATGATATTTCAACTAAATATATTTGGTTTTTGCATAAAAGACTAGATTCTTAACAATGTGGATTGCACTCTAACTCGTCATTAAAAAACTAACTATCGTCTTGTGTCTTACCCATTTCCTTTAGGAAGTTCTTCAATCGAACCGTTTCTTTACTAGTTTTTGAGATAGTCATAGACTCGGCTTTAGTAGTTGAAAAAACAACATACTTTTAAAGTCGAGACAACCAACTCATAGTAGTACCACATTAAGTTAAGAAATAACTCCGTCGCACTCATTCTATTATATAGATCATCACCTATATCTGCATAAACAAATGTTATAGAATAATATTATTCCTCTTAAAGCATAGTCATACACGAGTACCTTTTAGATAATGAAGAATTCACTTTACTCATTTATAATGCTTCTTTCTTGGATTGGTATAGAGTATATTATTCTTCTTAAAATAAAAAGTCATACTTGAAGTGCCTTTCGGATAATGAGACCACTATATACACGAGTACATTATACTACAAGTCCTTATCGGCATCGGTCTTTACAACTTAACACTAAACACATTAGATTTATTTCTCAAAAAAAAAAAAACCTCATACCTTTTTGGTGGAATCATTTATAAAAATGACATAATAACTTGAGCCTCCAAGAAAAGTCATATGGGTTAGTTCCCATACATCCGTATGCACTAATTCTAATTTTTCTTCCTTGAAGGATCTATTAGACTTCAAGAAATGGACTCTCTTCTACTTCCATAGATACATACCTCACATAAGCTAACATTAACATGTTTTAATTCTGGTAATTTTTTGTTTAATGTTAACTACTTTAAACCCATATGAAATTAGCCATTATTGTTGTATCCCTTGTTATAATAATTATACACCAAGTTTCAACATTTCTACTCGATGCTACAATTATATTCTCCATCGTTATCTTTCATAATCTACTCTTAAATACTATTATGTATCCAATGTCATCGAGTTAACTCATAGAAATTAGATTCTTCTTAAGACCTAAAATATGTCTAACATTCTGCAGCTTTTATTGCATTCTATTGGCAGTTCTAATACTAACTTTACATTTTCTCTATAATGTCTAAAGGTTTATCATCTATAAGATAAACCTTCCAAAAATTTCCTCTAATATATTTCTATAGGAAATATTTACATGGAGTGGAATGAAATGACATACCAAAGTTTAGAATCTAAGACTCAATTAGACTATCCAAAATTAATGCATCTATAATTTCATCAATCGTTACGGATGTAGAGTCATTATTTTGATTCTTTTTTTTAGAGCCTTCCGCTAATTTTTAAAGTTCTTCTT